GGACAGGACCTCAGTGCAAGCTCAGATTTCTTTTTTGGCAACTTGTATATTCATGATAAGGATTCTCTCTAACATTCTAAAGATTCAAGTTACTTTACTCATCTACCTCCCCATACCAATTAAAACAAAAAAAGTGTGTTTGGGTTAAGCTGATTTGCACTTGACTCCTGGCTCAACCTTCAGCCCCTTATTGAAAATCTCTGTAAAATTTATTATTTATTGGTGTTTGGAAGTTTGACCCAGAGTTGTGTGCTACTTTAAAATTTCTAAGTAAATTATTTAAATAAAGATTTGCCCTTGCCAGTGTGGCTCAGTTGGTTGGAGCGTTGTCCCATATATCAAAAGGTGGCAGGGTTCGATTCCCAGTCAGCACACAAATCCAAGTTACGGGTTTGATGTTTCTCTATCTCTCAAAACAAACAAATATATGAACAAACAAATAGAAAAATAGATAGATTTAGAAAGTTTTTTCCTTTACATAATATCAAAAAGGGGAAAAAAATCACTTAAAGCACAGCATCTACTGCAAGAAACATTTGTACTCTGATCTAAGAACTACCTACACATGGATAATCCTTCCTCAGAATCTCCACCTACATATAATAAAACTAAGATAAACTGGAAAAAAATTTAATGGAAATGTTTTTAAAACAAAACTGACACAGCTAAAGTCATACTTGATGGTGAAAAACTGAAAGCCTTTTTTCAAATATCAAAAAAGGTGTGCCCTTTTATTCAACACTAGAGGCCCGGTGCATGAATTCATGCATGAGTGGGGCCTGGCCAGCACACCCCAATCAGGGCTGATCAGGCCAGACTGGCTTTGGGGAGGGACTGTGGGCAGCTGGCTGGCTGGCCCCGCCCCCTGTTGAACTCCTGGTCAAAGGGAAAATTTGCATATTAGCCTATTATTATATAGGATATTGCTGGTAGTCCTAGCCAATTAGGCAAGAAAAATAAACAAAAGGCAACTAAGTCAGGAAAGAATAGTAAAACTGTCTCTATTTACAGACAACATATTATTATATGTAAAACACCCTGCCCTGGTCGGGTTGCTCAGTTGGTTAGAGCACTGTCCCAGTATACCAAGGTTAGGGGTTTGATTTTTGGATAAGGCACACATGAGAAGCAACCAATAAAGGCATAAATAAGTGGAATAACAAATTGATGTCTGTTTCTCTCTCTCTGTCCCCCTCTAATGCTTCCTCGCTAAAAAAAATTAATAAATTTTAAAAGAAAACAATTCTATTTACAATAGCCTCAAAAACAATGAAATACTGAGAATTTACCCAAGAAACTAAAAGATTGTTATACTGAAAACTATTAAGACAATAATGAAATAAACTTAAGACAAAAATAAATGTAAAGATTCATGTTCATGGATTGGAAGATATTGTTAAAATGTCCACACAACCTAAAGCAATCAAAAGAGTCAAAGCAATCCCTATCAAAATTCCAATGTCATTTTTTCACGGAAATAGAAAAAAAATCCTAAATTTGTATGGAATCACAAAAGACTCAGAAAAGCCAAAGCAATCTTAAGAACAACAAAGTGGAGGCATCATGCTGCCAGATTTCAAACTATTCAATAAAGGTACAGTAACCAAAACAGTATGGCACTAGCAAAACACAGAACAAAAAGCCCAAAAACAAAGCCAAGAATATGGGGTCAATTAAGTTTTGGCAAAAGAGCCAAGAGTATACAATGGGGAAAGGACTATCTCTTTAATAAATAGTCTTGGGAAAACTAAATAGCTACATGCTAAATAAAGAATGAAACTGGAAGATTCCAAAATGGTGGCAGAGTAAGTGGAAGCTACACAGACACTCTCCCAGGTCCAAACTGGAAATACAACTAAAATACAGAACCACCCTGAAAAATCAACTGAGGACTAGCTGGAGAGAACCCTGATAGCCAAGGACAGAAAGTGGAGACCTCACCGAGACTGGAAGTGTGGAGACAGGAAAGGGGTGGCTGGGCTCCCACAGACAGCAACTGAAGTTCTGGAGGGACATCTCAGCTATGGGAGGATTCCCACTGAGAATCCCAAGCCCATACCACAAGAACTGAGAAAGGTGCCCACAAAACATCTGGCTATGAAAAGCAGCAGGGCTCTTGTCTGCCAGACAGCTGGAGACAGGGCTGGAAATGCAGGCACCATCTTAAAGGGCCAACACACAAATTTTCGTGTGAGGCACTCACATTGGGTTCTGGCAGAGGGAGAGCTGAGTAGACTGGAGTTGTGTGAGGGGAGTCCAGGCTTGGGGTTCTGGGGTTAGAGACTGCAGGGCAGCCACCTTGGTTTCCTTTCCTGAGTCATTCCCTCACCCTGTGGTGGAAATCTTTAGATACAATTTTGATATCTAAGCAGTCTTTGCCTGGGGGTAAAGAAGTTGTCCCGCCCTGTTGGAAGACCTCTCAACCTACCCTGTGATCAAGAGCCTGAGGCTAATCAAGTCTAAGTGTCGATGGGACTGCAAAGCAGAGGCTGGTCTCTGGAGACTCTGAGTCTTTCCTTGCATGATAATCGCAGGCCCTGGGCTAGGAAAAGCAGACCCTGGTGTACATCTTGGTCCCAGTCCCAGCAGAGGGAGCAACAAGCTGTGGATTGCTAATTGCTTCAAACAGGGTACTTAGTATCAGTCACAAACAGCATCTGAGATTGTCCTGCTCTAGAGATTGGGAGTCATAGCAGATCTACCTAAAACAGACACAAATTCAAACAGGCAGCCAAAATGGGGAGAAAAAAAAAGTCCCAAACGAAGGAACAGAATTCTTCAGAAGAGCTAAATGAAATGGAGATAATATATTTATCACACATAAAAGTTCAGCATAATGATGGCAAAGATGCTTAACAGCATGAGACAAGATATAGTAGCAATGAAGAATGACATAGCACTAATAAAGAACACTGGGAGGAATACACAACCTATTGGGAGAAGATGAGGATTGGATCATTGAATTAGAAGACTGGGCAGAAAAGAATAACTCAATCAGAGAACTAAAAAGAAAAAATCAAAACAATTTAAAAACAGGAGGACAGCTTAAGGGAGTTGTGGGACAACATGAAATTTAATATTCACATCACAGATATGCTAGAAGGAGAAGAAAGTAAGAAAGAGATAGAGACTGTGTATGAAGAAATAATGGCAGATAACTTCCCTAACCAGGTGAAGGAAAAAGTAACACAAGTCCAGGAGGCACAGAGAGTCCCAAGCAAGAAGAACCCAAAAAGACTCATACCCAGACACATCATAATTAAAATGCCAGAATTAAAGACAAAGAGAGAAGGAGCTCCCATAAGGCTGTCAGCTGATATCTCACGAGAAACTCTACAGGTCAAAAGGGAATAGCATGAAGTATTCAAGGTAATGAAAAGCAAGGATCTGAAACCAAGATTACTATATCCAGCAAGGCTATAATTCAAAATATGTGGTGAAATAAAGAGCTTCCCAGACCAAAAAAAAAAAAAAAGCTAAAGGAGTTTAACATTACCACTGTAAGAAATGCTAACGGGACTGCTGTAATGAGAATGGAGAGAAACATAGGCATAAAGAATTAAAATAGCAATAAATAAGTACCTATAAAAAAATAACCTTAAATGTAAATGGGTTAAGTGCTCCAATCAAAGGCATAGGGTAGCTGAATGGAGAGGAACACATGACCCATATATTTGCTGTCACCTCAGAACAAAAGACACATAGAATGAGAATGAAGGGCTGGAAAAAAATTTTCCATGCATATGGAAATGAAAAAAAGCTGGGGTGGCAATACTAATATCTGACAAAACAGACTTCAAAATGAAGGCCATCACAAGAGACAATAAAGGTCACTACAAAATACTAAAGGGACTGATCCAACAAGAGCAGATAACCCTGATAAACATATTTGCACCCAATATAGGAGCACCTAAATATATTACCAAGAAACTTCTGGAGGACTTCAAGGGAGAGATCAACAGCAATAGAGTCAGAGTAAGGGACTTTAACAGCCTGCTGACATCACTGAATAGAGCTTCCAGACAAAATACTGACAAGGAAAAAGTGATTCTAAACAACATACTAGACAAAATAGATTTAATTGACACTTATAGAACATTTCACTCAAAAGCTACGGAATGTACATTCTTCTCAAGTGCACATGGGTCATTCTCAAAGATAGACCACATGTTAGGACACAAAACAAGTCTCTACAAGTTTAAGGAGATTGAAATCATATCAAGTACCTTCTCAGATCACAATGGAATGAAATTAGAAATCAACTACAATAAAAAAAACTCCAAAACATGGAGGCTAAATAGCAGGAAAAAACAATGAATGGGTTACCAACAAGATCAAGAAATAAATAAAAAAGTTCCTGGAAACAAATGAAAATGAATACATAACAACCCTAAATCTGTAGGACACATCAAAAAGCAATCTTGAGAAATTCATAGCACTACAAGCCTACCTCAAAAAAAATTAATAAGCGATTTAACTCTACAACTTAAAGAACTAGAACGAGAACAAGAAAAGCCCAGAGTAAGTAGAAGGGAGGAAATAATAAAGATTAGAGCAAAAACTAATGACATAGAGGCTAAAAAATCAAACAAAATATCAAAACCAAGAGCTGGTTCTTCGAAAAGATAACAAAATTGATGAACCTTTAGCCAGGTTCATCAGGAAACAAAGAGAACCCAAATAAATAAAATCTGAAACAAAAGAGGTGAAGTTACAATGGACACCACAGAAATACAAAGGATTAAAAGGAAACACTATGAACAACTATATGCCAACAAGCTGGACAACACAGATGAAACATACAAATTCCTAGAAAAATACAGTCTTCCAAAAACATAATTAGAAAACTGGAATAGGCCAATAAAAAATGATGAAAATGAAGCAGTAATCAACAACAACAACAACAAAAGCCCTGGCTGTCCATTAGGCCTTACAGGGATTTTACAAACATTCAAAGAAGAACTAACACCTATCCTCCTACAACTATTCTTTTTTTGTTTTTAAATATGGAATGCTTTATGAATTTGCATGTCATCCTTGCACAGGGGCCATGCTAATCTTCTCTGTATCGTTCCAATTTTAGTATATGTGCTGACGAAGCGAGCACCTCCTCCAACTATTCAAAAAAATCCACGAGGAAGGAACATTTCCAAGCTTTTTAGGAGACCAGCATTACCTAATTCCCAAACCAGTTAGACACTTCAGAGAAAGAGAACTACAGGCCAATATTCCTGATGAACATTGATGCTAAAACCCTCAACAAAATATTAGCAAATCGGATCCAGCAATATGACCAAGTGGGATTTATTTCTGGGATTCAAGGCTGGTAAATATTCAAATTAATAAGCGTGATACATCACATAAATTGAAAGACAAAAATCACATGATCATATCAATAGATGCAGAAAAATGCATTCAACAAAATCCAACACCCATTTTTTTAAAAATATATTTTATTGACTTTTTTACAGAGAAGAAGGGAGAGGGAGAGGGAGAGTGAGTTAGAAACATCAATGAGAGAGAAACATCGATTCAGCTGCCTCTTGCACGCCCCCTACTGGGGATGTGCCTGCAACCCAGGTACATGCCCTTGACCGGAATCGAACCCGGGACCCTTGAGTCCCCAGGCCAACGCTTTATCTGCTGAGCCAAACCAGCTAGGGCCCAACACCCATTTTTAATAAAAATTCTTAGCAAAGTGGAAATAGAGGGACTATATCTCAACATAATAAAGGCTATATATGACAAACCTTCAGCAAACATCATACTCAATGGGCAAATACTAAAACCATTTCCCCTAATAACAGGAACAACAAGATAGGGATGTCCGCTTTCACCACTCATATTCAACATAGTACTGGAAGTCCTAGTCACAGGAATGAGACAAGCAAAAATAAAAGACATCTAAATTAGAAAGGAGGAAGTAAAACTCTCATTACTTGCAGATGACATAATATGGCACATAAAACACCCTAAAGACTCCACCATAAAAACTACTAGATTTAGTAAGTGAATTTGGCAAATTTGCAGGCTACAAAATTAACACCCAGAAATCAATGACGTTTTTATATACCAATAGTGAATTAACAGAAAGAAGAAACTAAATAAACAATCCCATTTATCACTGCAACAAAATAAATGAAGATGCTTAGGAATAAACTTAAACAAAGGGGTAAAAGACTTACACTCTGAAAACGACAGGGCATTGAAAACAAAGACAGAGGAAGATATAAACAAGAGGAAGAATATACTGTATTCATGGATTGGAATAATTAACATAATTAAAATGTCCATAGCTACCCAAAGTAATCTCCAGATTCAATGCAATCCCTATTAAAATACCAACAGCATATTTCACAGATCTAGAATACTCCAAAATTTATATGGAACTAAAAAGACCCCTTTCTCATGATAGCTGTGGCAATCATGAGAAAGAACAAAGTTGGAGGGTTCAAAATACCAGATATCACATTATATTACAAAGCCACTGTAATAACAGCCTGCTACTGGCATAAGAACAGCATATAGATCAATGGAACAGAGACCCTAGAAATCAACCCAAGCCATTACATTCAACTAATATTTGGCAAAAGAGGCAAGAACATACAAAGGAGTCAAGACAGTATCTTCAATAATTGGTATGGGAAAATTGGACAGATGCATACAAAAAAAGTGAAAACTAGACCACCAACTTCATTCCCAAGAACCAACTCAAAATGAATAAAAGATTTAAATGTAAGTCATAAAACCATAAAAAAAAAAAAAACCTAGAAGAAACCATAGCCATCAAAATCTCTCCTAGGTCAAAGGACACTAAGGAGAAAATAATCAAATGGGACTACATCAAAATAAAAAGCTATGCACAGCCCTAGCCAGTTTGACTCAGTGGATAGAGCATCAGCCTGTGGACTGAAGGGACCCAGGTTCAATTCTGGTCAAGGGCACATGCCCAGGTTGCAGACTCGATCCCCAGTAGGGAGCATGCAAGAGCCAGCCAATCAATGATTCTCACCATTAATGTTTCCGTCTCTCTCTCCCTCTCCATTCCTCCCTGAAATCAATAAAAATATATTAAAAAAATAAAAATAAAAAAGCTTATGCACAGCAAAAGAAACCATCAACAAAAGGAAAAGGAAGCACACTGTATGGGAGAACATATTTGCCAAGGATACATATGATAAAGGATATCCAAAATAGCTCGGCCAGCGTGGCTCAGCAGTTGAGTATCGACCCACGAACTAAGAGGTCACAGGTTCAATTCCCGGTCAGGGCACATGCCCAGGTCGTGGGCTTGGTCCCCCATGTGGGGTGTGCGGGAGGCAGCCAATCAATGATTCTCTCTTATCATTGATGTTTTGATCTCTCTCTTCCTCTCCCTTCCTCTCTGAAATCAATAAACATATATTTAAAAAAAAAAAGAATATACAAAATATTTAAGAAACTCATACAACTTAAAAAAAGGAAGACAAACAATACAGTTAAAAAATGGGCAAATGACCTAGACATTTCTCCAAAGTGGACATACAGATAACCAAGAGACATATGAAAAAATGCTCAAAGTCACTGATCATCAGAGAAATGCAAATTAAAATGATAATGAGGTATCACCTCACACCTGTCAGAATGGCTACCATCAACAAATCAACAAACAGCAAGGGCTGGCGAGGATGTGGAGAAAAGGGAGACCGAGTACACTACTCGTGGGAATGCAGACTGCTACAGCCATTACGGAAAAAAAAAAAATGGAGTTTCTACAAAAAATTAAATATGGACCTGCCATTTGATTCCATTTCTAGGAATATGTCCTAAGAAACCTGAAACACCAATCAAAAAGAATATATGCACCCCTATGTTTATAGTAGCACAATTTACAATAGCCAAGATCTGGAAACAGCCCAAGTGCCCATCAGTAGATGAGAGGACAAAAACAAAACTGTGGTTCATTTACACCATGGATTATTATGCAGCAGAAAAAAAAAGCAGGATCTCTTATCCTTTGGTACAGTATGGAGGGACCTGAAGAGTATTATGCTAAGCGAAATAAGCCAGTCAGAGAAAGACAAGTGTCACATGATCTCACTCATATGTGGAATCTAACCAACAAAATAAACTGTAGAACAAAATAGATCCAGAGACCGAGATACATGGAACCAACTGTGGAATCTCAGAGGGAATGCTGAGTTAGGTGGGAAGAAATCAACCAAAAAACTTATATGCATACTAGTGGCCGGTGCACGAAAATCATGCACATTAAAAGGGGATTAATTAGAGGAAATATTTTAATATTGCTATTTGCCCTCTCTCTATAACTGTCAAGAGATGAAATAAAATTAGTAAAATGTATATGAAAATCGTCCTCCTGTCAGTGTCTAGGGTGCACCACGGGACCCAGAGTCTAGTCCCCACCCACCCACATGTGCCTCGAAATCACGCAAGACCCAGACCTGGCTGGCTCCACCCTCATTAGGCTGGATCCAGACCTGGCCGGTTGCACCCTTGTCAAGCCCTGCCAGGCAAGGGGCACAGGCTGAGGTCTCCCGTCAAACCCCGTCGGACGGAGGGCGCGGTGTGAGATTTCCGGCCCAGTGCCAGGGTGAGGGGAGTGCCTTGAGGTCCCCCGTCAAGCTCCACTGGGCAGGGGGTGCAGCCTCAGGTTCCCTGGTGCTGGGGTGGGGGGCATGGCCTGAGGTCCCCCAGCCCAGGGTGGGGAGAGCATCATGAGGTCCCCTGGCCCAGCACCAGGGAGGCTGGCCCACCTTGAGGTCCCCTGTCAAGCCCCGCGGGTGGGGGGGCACAGTCTGAGGTCCCCCCGACCTGGTGCTGGGTGGGGGGCGTGGCCTCAGGTCCCCTATCAAGCCCCACTGGGCGGGGGACGCAGCCTCAGGTCCCCCAGCACTGGGGTGGGGGGCACAGCCTCAGGTCCCCTGCCTGGCATTGGGGCGGGGGGTGCACCTTGAGGTCCCCTGTCAAGCCCCGCCGAGTGGCAGGGCTCGGCCTGAGGTGCCCTGTCAAGCCCCATGGGGGGTGGGGAGGGTGGTCCAGCCTCAAGTCCCCACTGATTGCTCGTTAAGGCCTGTTATGGGAACTTGGCCTCTGCTGTGGGTGCCGCCATATATGCGATGGTGTGACGGTCAATTTGCATATTCCCTTTTATTATATAGTAAAGATATGCATAACTTATGGACACAGATAATAGGGTAGTGATGGCCTGTGGGTATGGGACTTAGAAGGAGTCAATGGGGGGTAAAGGGGATATATGTAATACTTTTAACAACAATGATTAAATTTTTTAAAAAGTCATGAGTCAGACAAAAGTCATTTAACTTTTTCCAAGCATTAAATGTTGCAAACCTACCCACTGAGCCGTCAAGAAAGGGCAAAGGAAAAACACCACTTTTGGGTGAAGCGGCAGCGTGTTGTGTTGTTTTGCTTCCATCGGTGGTGTGACAAGGTGAAAAAAAAAAAAAAGAAAAATAAATAAATGTTGCAAACCTGAGGAAAAAAATAGAAAAATGCAAAAAAAAAAAGAATAAAACTTGTGTACTCCACTTTATGCCATACACAAAATCAACTCAAAATGGATTAAATACTTGAATGAAAGATGTGAAAGTATAAAACTTCTAAAAGAAAACATAGAAAGTAAGTTTCTTGACATTGGTCTTGGCAATGATTTTTTGGAATTGACATCAAAAACAAAATTAAACAAATAGAACTACATCAAGCTAAAAAGCCTCCAATGAGCAAGGGAAACCATGAACAAAATGAAAAGGCAGCATATGGAATGAGAGAAAATGTTTTCAAACCACATATTAAATACAGAGTTAGTATCCAAAATCATACAGCTCAACAGCAAAACAAAACAACAAAATGAGATGATCTTAATAAAGATTTTTCTAAAGAAAACATACAGATGGCCACAGATACAAAAAAAGGTGCTGAACATCACTAATCATCAGGGAAACGGAAATCAAAACTACTAGGAGATAGCCCTACCTGATTGGCTCAGTGGATAGAGCGTCAGCCTGTGGACTGACAGGTCTCAAGTTTGATTCTGGTCCAGGGTACATGCCCAGGTTTGCGAGGCTCGGTCCCCAGGAGGGGATGTGC